AAAAAAATGAACTAAAAAATTGGCATATATTATATGACTTCTCATTGTTACAGAAATTGAATTTCTCTATAGGCCTAAAAAAAATTTATTCCCACACAAAGACATTATTTTGTTTCTGTCACTGAGGTAAATATGACATAAAAAAAAGTTTGTTTTATTATTTATGGTTTATTTAAAAAAAAGTATCGTTATTTTTTGTGTACTAATAAAAAATTTTCAATTAATTTTAGTTTATATTGAATATTACGTTTTTATAATCATGGAAGCTTTTAGTAGAGAAATCATCTCGATTTTTTTCACCCTATACATTACGATCTCGTACATCAACTGTACTTTGACAAGTTTTTCTCTAAAATCCTTGGGGGTAATCTTGATAACTTGATCACCATTATGACTTTAGTGAGACAAAGTTTATTTTATATCTTGATCATTTTGTATTTAAACAAGCATAATTTGAAAACTAAGTGCAGCTGCAAAAATTTCAGAAGGGAAATGTAATGATGTAATGTGAAGTATATTTTACTATGATAAAAAAATTTATACCTATACCAAAATAAACTCACAGTATTTGCGGTGTTCGCAGCAGTCGAAATCCACCAATTTGGCGTGGAAAAACATCTTCTGCAAAATAGTACATATGACCTACAGCCATTCCAATTAAATCTACCCATACAGCATTTCCAAGTAATACAGAAAATCCAAGAAGTACCCAGGGTAAATAAGGTGCCTGCAATGAGAAAATAATTGAAATGATTTGTTCGAATATCATTACTACTAAATTAAACTTCTCCCATTTTTGTATATTTGTGTTTTATTTTAAGGATTTTAAATGCCTGCTTTGTTAAAATAGATTTACAAATAAATATTAAATGCTGTCAAAATTTTTATTAAAATTCAATTTTACGCATTCACAAGTTTTCAACCACTTAAGAACTTCTAAAAAATAGAAAATAAGACTTGCACTCTTATGGAATCACGGAACACATGGTAAAATAACTGACTAGATTTATCTGATTTTATTTCAAGTTCTACACACAAATGAAGATGCGCATAAGCGTTCAGGTTGTGGTTGCAAAACAGAAATTTAAATTTTTTCCATCATTTTTAATCCAGCTTCAAGATAGGTGGGGATAAAATTTCATAGGCCCATAGCATAATACTACTGTAGTATGAATAAAAAGTTCAAAAAATTCTTACAGTGTTGTGACACTAATCGAACTGCCACGCTGTTATTGCGTACTCATTTATTAAGCCCAGAAAAAAATACGCAAATTGTTATTTTGAAACACACATGATGACAAAGATGATAGACACTGTAGAATGAAAAAATCAATAAAAGTTTACTTACATCAGATTTCAAAAGTGATTCAACGAAAGCTTGATTAAAAGTGATTCAGCAATTATTTAATCATAAACCGCAGATTTTTTCAGCTTAAGTATATTATTTAAATGAATGAAAAACTAAAAGAAATGGTTTATGACGTATGTTCAAAGATCAAGAACCTTCAACTACAGTACATACATCATCACATCATCATAAAACTCTAACTCACATAGTTAAAAATCCGCGAGGGGGTTTCACGATTTATAATTAAAAAGTAACTGTATCTTTATGTAAATTTAAAGTGAACTATTAATAAATTAATACTACGAAAGCCCTTGAGAAACTTATCAGCAACTAACAATTCATTTTTTTACTAGTATAATGCAAAATAAGGGTAACGTCACATATGTAACTTATTAATTTACATAGATTGAGTGTGTACACGATAAGTGGTGTAATAATGAGACAATAAATAGCAATTAATGCTCAGAAAAGCAGCTTTATTCCAGTAGTAAGCATGTTTAGTATGGAATGCATTCCATTCTTAGGATCATGGGTTTTATTCTCGGTAAATGCAAATTTTTGTAATAGTATTTTTCATCGGAGAAAGTTTCTAAGAACTCTACTTTCCTTGCCCTACAGGCCTTTGGGCCTGGGTTAATGCAAAACAGTAAAACCGCTTCAAGCAGAAATAAGTAAATAGACTGGCGTAAATAATGCACTGAGAGGTGCCATTATAAAGCCTCTTCAGTCATAGTGAGCTGAGATTAGTCATCCCACCAAGTCTTTTTTGTTTACAAGACGTACGGGTACATCAAATGCGTTTACGCGGCATTACTTTAGCCTCATCGTCTAACATTACCCACTGTCAAGGCGCTCCACACCAACCACAATAATATCCTGCCAAATGCTACCAGAAACATCTCATAAGTATGCTTGTGTTAGTTTGGTGTAAATGTAATGACCGTGCAACCTTCGGGCGGGAGTTTTTGCCAGTGTCTACATATTAGGCACTTTCCATGTGCTAGATGAAGTTACACTCTTCAGATAGGAGAAATTCTGGGAATTCTGGGGCACAATTTGCTGGGGTGGCATTACATGCTATAAGGCCGATACTTGCTGACTTCATATCTTTAGGCTCGGTGGCTTGCTTCGGTTGTCACTTGACGCTTCCAAGAGCCGCGAAGTACACAGTCAGCTTTGTTTGGTGGCTATTCTCGTTAAGTATGACTCTTTTAAGTCAAAATTTTAAAGTCTCAGAATTTTGTCATTGAGGGAATAAATATAATATAAAATCGAATAAAATAAAAAATTTATTTATGTATTTAAGTCTTTACTTAACAGCCTCCCCCTCTTGAAACTATCACCGTCCTTGGTAAATGTATGTATGTTAAAACAACCTGAACTAAGGTAAAAAGTGGACCATAGTAAACTGAACACTTTAAAAAGTAATAAAGAAAAAACTTTCACTTTTTGCCTTCTTTTTTGTTAAATCATTTTAACCTTACAAGTAAAAAATTATTGGCAAAAATCTTAAACATTCAAAGTAGTATTTAAAAAACCTATTACAACACACGCTCACGTGCACACACACACATACACACACACACACATTCTCCTATATTAAATAGTTATCTCGGTGGAGCATTCCACACNCCCCCTCTCCACTTTCCCCCCCCCCTACAAAATGAGGTAAAAACCCGTCATTTTCTCCCTCATTTTGACATATTGCAGTTTTTCCTAAAATCCTTCACAGACCCTTCACTCATTTTTTCATAACCCCCCTTTGTTTGGTAACGACTTACGTTAAGTACGACTCTTTTAAAATAAATATAGTTTAACATAGAATGAAATAAAAATTTGTTTATTTATTTATGCAAGTCGTCACTAAACAGCCTCTCCTTCTGAAACTGTCCTCGGTGAATATATACATATAGGTCGACGTAGGGGAGTTAGCGGCAGATAAAGCCAGATGATGAGTTTGCATGGTGGCACTTTTCAGTTTATTGTTTACATCACTATATAATGGCAGATCTTGTACTCCGATCATGGGTTAGTGTGCCCATTGTCTGTCTTCCCGGAGTACTTGTTCAGTGCCTACACAGACATTCACTATAGAAGAACACTACTTTAACACTCTTTACACAATACCAGGGAAGTTTCCACTAATAAGAGTAAGGGGAAGTGGTAACTTTTGGCCAGCCCGAGCTCGTAGCACCTACTTTTGACAACGGAACGAGTTGTTGCGTTGGTTTTCAACCCATTGACAGATATTTATTTTTAAAAAAAAGATAGCGTTGACTTCCGCCGGTCAACATGTTAGAAAGAAAACTCTAAAATGAAGAACGTCGAACAAAAACAAGTACCCCAGCCTATTTGAAGAAATCTGCTGACAGTTCAATCCAGTGAAAGCCCGAGTAACTGTCGCAGGCCCCACGGATTCTTGGGGTCCATAAAGATGTGTCTCAAGGCCAACTCGGTCTATTAAATGATTTATGGCCTCAATTCTTAAATCAAAAAAAGAGATTCAAACTCTTAAGCTTAGACAGAAAAGTTAGCGGAGGCAGTAAAGTAAGTGTTTTTAGCAACCAGACACAAGAGGAGCTCGATTTGATGGAAAATGATGGTGTAGAGCTGAGATTAAAATGCAACCTAGAAATGGAACAAGTTTGTTTCACTACTACTATAAATGGAACCTAGAAATGAAACAGGTTTGTTTTACTACTACTAGAAAGATTGAAAATATGCTTGAAACTACTAACGAGAAGTACGAAAATACGGCAACGATCGTGAAGGATAGTCTGAGAGCTACTCTTAAACACCTCAGATCAGTAAAAATTAAAAAAAGACGTCCTTTTTAAAAAAGAAAACTGTAGTAAGAGGTAAAAGGAGTATTTTAAATCCCTAAAACTCCAAGAATACATAAGTGATAATTTCTGTTAGAAAATTGAGAAAAAAAAAAACTTTAAACTTAGCCCTTAAGGACACACACTTGTTCCATTTCTAGGTTTCATTGTAATCTCAGCTCTACACCATCAATTTCCATAAAATCGAGCTCCTCTTGTGTCTGGTTGCTAAAAACACTTACTTTACTGCCTCCGCTAACTTTTCTGTCTAAGCTTAAGAGTTTGAATCTCTTTTTTTGATTTAAGAATTGAGGCCATAAATCATTTAATAGACCGAGTTGGCCTTGAGACACATCTTTATGGACCCCAAGAATCCGTGGGGCCTGCGACAGTTACTCGGGCTTTCACTGGATTGAACTGTCAGCAGATTTCTTCAAATAGGCTGGGGTACTTGTTTTTGTTCGACGTTCTTCATTTTAGAGTTTTCTTTCTAACATGTTGACCGGCGGAAGTCAACGCTATCTTTTTTTTAAAAATAAATATCTGTCAATGGGTTAAAAACCAACGCAACAACTCGTTCCGTTGTCAAAACTAGGTGCTACGAGCTAGGGCTGACCAAAAGTCACCACTTCCTCTTACTCTTATTAGTGGAAACTTCCCTGGCATTGTGTAAAGAGTGTTAAAGTGGTGTTCTTCTATAGTGAATGTCTGTGTAGGCACTGAACAAGTACTCAGGGAAGACAGACAATGGGCACACTAACCCATGATCGGAGTACAAGACCTGCCATTATATAGTGATGTAAACAATAAACTGAAAAGTGCCACCATGCAAACTCATCATCTGGCTTTCTCTGCCGCTTACTCCCCTACGTCGACCTATATATATATA